ACACCAAATGTAAAAAAGATTTCGTTTTCGCAACGTGATGCAAACCAAAAACAGAAGTCAATTTTCAAAAAAAATAAATAAATAAATTTTTAAAAAAAAGCTTTTTTTCTGGCAACTATAAAAATCTTGATTCAGGGTAGGTTTAAAAAATTTCAACGCAAATATACAAATTTACGATAAAGTGCAAATGACATAACATAAAACAAATCATAAAAATCGTTTCAAAGTTACGTAAGACTTTGCCTACGAAATGACCCTGGTGTCAAATTGACCCTGTCGACGAAATGACCTTGTCGACAAAATGACATTGTAGATGAAATGACCCTGCCGATGAAATGACCCTATCAACAAAATGACGTAGTTGACGAAATGGCCTACCGATGCTATAACCCTGTCGACGAAATGGCCTATCGTCAAAATGACCTAGTCGACGAAAAGATCTGTCGATGAAGTGGCGTCGATGAAACGGCCTATCGATGTGACTGAAATGAACACGACCCCATCACAAGGATTCAGGTTTGCACAGCAACTCATGGTTGGAAATATCTTCGTTCGCCTATAGGTGATGTTCAGAGAAGCATTTGTGGACCGGTTCTCCAGCCACTATGCTCTCCAGATGTAAGCAGTATGGATTTATTTCTCTGGAGAGAGCCGAAAAGAACTGTGCACGCAACCGAAATGGATCTGTTTGCAAGAATCGTCTGTGTAGTTGCAGATATCCAGCAAAATCCAGGTGTATTTGAGCGAGTCCCTTATACCATGGCTCGACGGTGTAAGGCATGCTTCGCTAGCAATAGTGGAAACTTTGAACATCTTTTGTGACATATCATCCATCCCATCACATGTAATATCTTTCACCATGAAATATTTTAGATGATCTCATTGTTGTGTTTCTTGTAACTGCCATACTATTTTTCCATGACTTTTCCGACCATGCGTTGCTGTACAATTCTGAATACTTGTGATGACTCCCCTCAAAATTTGTTCCAATATGCCTGAGTATGATGAGCAAAGTTTCGCTCTTTTTCTTCTCATGTAGATAAAGTTAAAAACATGCTTTCTTTATACAATCAATAGAAAATGCATTGAATAGGAAAAATAAATAGGAAAGACATTGAATGGCTAATATACAGTTCGAAATATAAAGAATCTCGCATTATTAATCCAAATTTTAGACGCTCTTTACATTATGAAAAATAAGTTGCCATCATCTGCCCTTTAATACCACAAGTACCTACATTGTCCCTATAGAAATGTGTTAGAACATTTGTGCGTAAGTTTTCTATTACTAGAAACCATCAGTTTAAATGATCAATCAAATGATTTGAGATCGATATAAAGCTGTTTATATTAAACCATTAATCTAGAGTCGTGGTGGCTCAAGGGATAGAGCATTCGCCTTCCCATGAGGTGAACCGACAATTCGAACCCAGCAATGGCTGTTGATACCTATTTCACACCCTAATCGCACCGACCACAGTGGTAATGTAAAATATCCTCAGTGGTAGACGAATCATGGGTCAGAGTCCCCTTGCCGTCTGGTTAATCTTGGGAGGTTTTCACGGCTTTCCTCTCCATGTAACGCAATTGCGAGTTAGTCCCATCAACAAAAAAAACCCTCCACGGAGTTATATGAGGGTAAACACCCATGTCACTCTCTGCGGTGCAACGGGCAAGAATAAACTGATATTAACCATTCTCGAAGTGAGAACTTACTATAATAAAAACAAAGCTTTTCCGTCATTGTCCTGGGTACTCTGCTTGACAGACTTCTCCGCAACATATTCGTGATTGCAATTTAAATTCCACATAATTTAAGGTAATCAATTACGAAATTTCAGCGAAATCAATTAAATAGTTTCTGAGTTATAAAAGTCACATTTTTAGATTCTATTTTTCAAAAACTATTCGACCCATTTTGTCCAAATTTTGGTATTTTTCCTCTTAAAATGACATAGTTTAAAATAATCTAAGCATTCAAAAAACTATGATTTTGAAAAAATGGTAATGAATAGTTATTTTTGAATGGAAATTTCTTTGGATAAGCGAATTTTATAATTATGTTCAGAAAGTTCGTATTCACTTAATAGGTTCTCGATATAAGGTAGAATATGAAAAATGTGAAATTATCAATAAAATGTCCAAACTTTCGGTAAATAAAATATGTTAATAATTTATGTTGTAACCATTGAAAAGAAATATTACTAGGGAACTTAGATGTGCAGAAACAGCATAAATTTATTCCCCCATTCTAGAATTATGAAACTAATTGATCATTTTTACTGTTTTCTATTTTGAGGAGTCTGTAATCACAAATTTCCCAATTGTAAGTGACGTAGATTAACATAGTTAATTATAAATGTACTTCCATTTGCTAATTCTTTTATGTAATGTATGAACTTAAAATTATAAGCTAAAAGCATTTATAAATTTTAATTATTATGTTTTAAAGAGGTTTTAAAAGCGCTTTTATGGTTTACTAATTTTTAATGGTTGATGACCCCCCCCCCTTCTGTTTAACACTCCAAATCCATATTTTTAATTAACTATAATAAATTAATAAGCTAAAGTAGATATTTTAAAGAAGCAAAAAAAATGTACTAAAATATTTTAAGTAAGATGAATTAAATAACATTTCAATTAATGACAAAACTCCAACTGCTTCCGGAAAGTGACAAATCGGTAAGGTAAAACAAGAACATAATACCAAAATTAATTAATAAAGCAAGCTTTTAAACTAACTCGTTAACGAGCGTTTCGCCTTCCATCATAGGTTAACTCAATTTGAAACGTACTTCTGGAGGAAACTGGAAATTTTCATTCCGAGAGTCATATACCAAATGGCATATATTAGCGATAAACTGTAACTTCGGGAATTTTGTACCGAAACTAAGCGATACCAAAGTGAGAACTTTCCGTATCGGTAGAGTTGCCGAAGACCGCGGACACCAGGTTATGGAAAATTGGGACTACAGTGCAGAATGAATTATTTCACCAGAAGTGGTCAATAATTTTAGATAAGTGTAAAGGTATTCTTGAAATTACCTTGAATGTATTTAGTTTAGCAAAAAAAAAAAAAAAAAAATGNGGCTCAGGGAGGAAAAAAAAAAAAAAAAAGAAAATGAGAGCACATATTTGAAAAGGTTGCGTACACGAACACGATTACAAGCACTTTATGTAAATGAAATTATTTAGAACAGGAGGTCACCCAATTTTGCTGAAATCGATCTAAGTGGTCAGTCAATGAGTGTGTTCGAGGAAGGAAGTCGGCCATCGCCCCAACCACCTTGACCTTCGACAAGAAACTTGGAACTCTTTGTGTGTCCACCAAAATGGTTGTCATGGTTTCCAAATGAAGAGAGCGACTTCATTATTCACTAAAGTTCTTTCAAGATCGTCCTTTGTTTCCAATTGCGAAGGTTTGTTGAAGGCGGGTAAGCCATTAAGAAGGGAAATTGAGTTATAAGAAATGAAGTCTAATTTTCAACAAGGAAGCATTTCCGAGATAAACTTACAGAATATATTTATAGATTCAAGCAAACATGATGCAGAATATATTTTTTTCTCAACACTCGCAAAACTGATATTTAAAAGTATAATTATATTGTCTTGTTTGTGTAAGTTTTTCTTTTGTATGGCCTTTATTTATTTTAAAACATTTTTATTTTATTAACTTATAACTGGCTTAAAACAATAATTTTTTAACGAGGAATTAGTTTTAAAGATTTTAATTATATTCTTAAGATATTACGCTGGAACATATTTTGAATAGGTTTAATTTAGTAGCAAGCAAAGCATTGCGTAGCAATCCTCGCGGATTAGGTAGAGTCAGTAAACAATCGTAAAATATTAACTATGCATACATACAAAAGTCAATGAATCAGCAAGGAGTGCAATTTTTCGTTTGTTTTCTCTCATTAACGTCGCCAGAGACTGCGAACAACCCACGTAAATTAAGCGTACATTTTTGAAAAGTTGATAAAGTCAATACGTTGTATACGTAAATTTTATGTAATATTGACGGAATGCTGTTACCATTGAGATATTTGTTAAAAAAAACGCTTTGGTATATTTTACGTAGTATTAACGGAATGGATTTTATCAACTACTCTTCGGTAAGATTGTTCTCCTATATTTTACAAAAGATAGACGAAAGAAAAAAATTTCTATTTAGATTTAGTAAAAATGATTCGTTTAGGTCTTAACATTTAGGTTTTAAGTAGTGAAACCATTTGATCATGTACTGTTATATTAGGGATTCTTGCTTTTTCAAGCTTACGAACTTAATTAGTGTTAAAATACTTCAATCATATTGCAGATCAATACCATTGAGTTGTGAATACTCTTTTTTCTGATGTTTAATATAGTTATTGCACAGAAATTGCGTTGAATGAGAAAGATTTTACAGAAAATACCTATAATATTTACTCACTCAATATCATTGAGAACGAAGCTATGCCTAATGTATAGACATCAAGAACTATGATCTCAATGCGATATTTCATACACTCCTTAATAAGACTCGAATCATTTAGAAATACCTTCGATGACAAACAAATAAGGTCAGACCTATGCATCGGCTGTTCAAAGTCAATTAAGACAACAAAGAATGTTTTTCTTTTTCAAAAACAGTGCTTCATAAACTTATTTTGATCTATTACCCCCTTTTCATTATTGTTCATCCCATCCATTCGACACGTTAAATCTCTACTAGAGATTATTTAAAAAAAAATGGATAATTAAGCATCTCTTAGCCTATACTTTGTAACATTTTGAAGAATCGTGATTAAAAGAGCAAAACAAAATGAAAATATAGAGTGCAAATGAGATACAGTTGGTAAAGATGAGCATAATTGCATGCATTATTTTTTTTATCTAAAATAATAACGTGAAATGTGTACAATCATCTTGTTTAAAGACAAGGCAAACACTGAAAGGTGTTCAAGTCACTTTTGTAGTCTTTATCCTGAAAAAAAAAGTTGCGAAATAAAGAGTCTCACCTGGAGTGGATAGAAGAATGTGTACTCGACTGGCACTGTAGCTGATCCCTATTAACAGAAAAGAAATAAGAATCTTTCTGCTCAGATAGCAGCAGTAGATATGAAATGAATAATCTTAAGAAATCAAAGTTGAAATCGTAAAATACATTGGGTAATGTTAAAAAAAGAAAAGTGGAAAAAGTCGAGAGCTAAAAAATAAACGCTCATTCTCACGACTCACAAGAGTTGAATAAAGAAGACATGACAGATTTGAAAAAGGTAACGTAAAGTTGAAAAGTAAAATAAAGGTGAAAAAAAAAAGTTTTATTTTTAACCTTTATTTTATTTCCCGTTCTTTCGTTGCCAATTTTGTGGTTTTTTTCCCCCTTTGAAATCTGTTCTGTTTTTTTCAGACAGGGCTGGTGAGTCTTGAGAATAGGCGCTTTTTTTATCACTCTAAGCAAGGCCTTTCTTTCCACCTTTATAAATTTATGTAGAAGCAAATAAAGTTTTTACATTATCTAAGGTTGAAATTCTTTAGTTGGTTTTAATTATGATGTGATGACTTGAGGTAGATACGAAATAGTAAATTTTGTTTTTGAAGTAATTTATGAAACAAGCCGTTTGAATGGCAGAAAGTTGCAAAATGGTTGATTTTTATTAATTACAGAAAGACACGCAATAAATAGCATCGAATGGGGATGAACAGTCATGAAGTATTTTGTCAATTTTTTAGATTGTAAATACACATTAAAAATTCACACATTTTTTGGTTATAATTCCATTTGTTTAGAAGATTCCTCATGTCGATTTTTTGGGGGGTTTTCGGAGGCTCTTATTTTTATGTGTATGGTAATTTTTAAATTTAAATTACAATAATTTTAAATACTACTTCATTTTAAAAATAATAAAAATACACATATCGTGCAAGATGCTTTCTAAGAGGACTTTTTGATAGAAACAACCCACATTTGCGTTACATGGAGAGGAAAACCACCTGAACCTTTCAAGACCAGCCCGACTGCAAGAGGTTTTTAACCTATGAGCAGCATATAATACTCAGCATATTTTACTCCCAGCAATGTGGTCGGTGAGAGGGGGGGTGCAGCCGTCGCTGGAATTCAAACCTGGGTCAGACGCTCCGTCCAATGCACCACCACGGCTCACATGCAAAATGTAAATAATGATTTTTCAAATCCCATTTCACGAGGAAAAATCATTCTTGGAGGTTCGTTGCTCGGTCGAAGCCACCCACTTGTTAGGGTCGTTTAAGAAAACGTTTTTCACAGCTGTAGCAACATTGTGTGTTTTAATATTTATGTCTCGATTTCGAAGGGTTCGAAAAATTGCTTTATTCACCATGAAAAGTTAGTTTAGATCTCTTCTACTTCAGACTATGCAGTATGGAGATGTCCGTCAGTGCACTATCAGCTTCGGCATCATTTTTATATTGTTAATTTATAATTATTTTGGGATAAAAAATTTAAAATGTAGTTGAAAGGTTGCGAAATAAAACCATGAAATCATTATATAACTCATGTTTTTTTCATTGGGGAAAAATGTTAAAAATGGGGATTAAATGGGGACCACTTAAGTGATTGTCAAAGTATTGGAATGGTGAGTAAGTTCTCACAGTTGTTTATAAGTTTTAACATTTCTTCTGTCCTTAAACGTTTATGGCATAATATTTTTCAGATCATTTCTGCTCTACAGAAGCTTTCTTTTTGTTCGAGTTAATTTATGTTCCTTCATTAAAAATGAATGAGAAAAATGAACATTTTCGGCACCTCTTATATTTTGCTTTCAATCGAGGCCTTAAGAGCGTAAAAATTGTTTGTGGCTATGATAATTAGTCATTGATATATTTAGTTAATATTATTTTGGAAAGTGATTAGTGGATAGAATCGAATATATTTTTTTATTAATATATTTTTTTATAATCGAATTTATTTTTTTATTATTTTCGGTGTTAAAAATTCTTGTTTATTTTAAACTTGCATTTGAATCTTAAGTAAAAAAATTTTCATCCACTACATTTCGTTTAGATCTTTTATTCTAAACAATTTAAAACATAGTTTTTAAAATTGCGCTTGCATCCAAAAGTTGATGCACAATCTGTTTTCTGTATCAAATTTAAAAATAAATGAACATAGAAACAAGAAATCTAAAAAGAAAGTGTTCACTAAGCAATTTTGTATTAAATACGACCCAGAAGTTTACATAAATGTAAATACAAATATGATTTACAACAAAAAAGCACACTTGGTTGGCTGATTTGAAAGCCCGTTTTCTGAGCAAACGGTTCTAATAAATATCGTGCCCGCCCTAACTGCAACATTCATCGACTTTCCATTAAATAGGGAGGGGGCGAACATCGAAGTAATACTTGTTCCAACTCATGTAAAGGGAAAACTGAAAGTAACCGCTACGGTGGTCCTAAACGTCTGTTAAATTCTTACATGATCTAACTAAGCAATCCCTAGATTCGGTAAAAATCTCTGCAATACAGAAAAACATTGATAGGATGAGACCTCTGAAATCAAATGAGAACCAACTTCCTAAAAAGTGAACACAGGGCTTCATATTAGATTTCTACGCACAATTCTTTTAAACGGCCATCCAACATAATATTTTATTAGACCATCACCTGGACAGTGGATTAGCGATCTCAATATCGAGATGGTCTTGGAAGACATCCTGTTGAGTGGAAACACTTCTATGGGCAAGAGGTGTTTCTTTCATTTTAGTGTCTACATAAACTTCATCATGTAAAATCTCGTGAATGAGAAAATATTCGACGGTTGACTTATTTGGTAGGCAAGTTACAACTCTTGAGTTCTTCTTCAAATGATCTTTAAGCTGTGTTTATTTCGTTATTCGGAAACTTAATTACTGAGTCAACGTGTAGCTGTCATTCATTTTTACCAAAAACTCGATTTCTCCATGACAATTTTCAACATGAAACTTTGATGAACTTCTTTGAAAAAAGTAATTTTCCGACAAGATCTTTTTTTTTCCTTTTGTAAATAGTGGTTGGATTTAAATTGATGTAAATTTCTATGAAACATTCAATTAAGACCTGCTTAATGCATATCCAAAATTTCTTACTCCTAAGTTCATTTACGTTCAATGTAGACGTGTAAAACAACTTTTGTGTATATTTTATATAAAAGGTCAACTTAATGAAAATGGCAAATATAAAAGAGGTGCGGTGTGCCTCGGCAAACACCCAGTCCCCAAGTATGTGCCTCGACAACCCTCCTGACCACTCCAAAACGAACTGAAGTGAGGTAAATCCAACAGGCATAACCGGTTGAAAACCCCCCTCATACTCACTTCCAAACTGACTCGCATGGAGAGAGGACGTGTTCCTCAAATCTTTTTTACAATTATGTAAATTCTTTACAATGTAAGTTTTCATTATATGTTTTTTGTTGTACATTAAATTTTTCCTTAAAACTTTTTATTCTTCATTTATTTTTGTAATTAATTTTTAATAACGCAATTTAAATATATAGCATGTTATTCTTAGCTTTAAAGCACACACGTGCTATAATTGGTAGACCCGGACTTAAACTTTAAGTTGATTCTTTATTTAATCGGAACTTTCCTAGCAATATAATGAATTTAAATCTATTAGCAATATGTTTATTTTATTCATATTTTATGTTCAAAATTTTATATGTTATACCCACGTGTTTGTGTCTGATTCTGTGGTAGTACTGTGCGCGCTTTTTTATCTCTTGGATTAGTGTATATATAGCGTAGGGAATGCTTTAAAATTAATTTATAAATATTTTACCTTCATTCTATTTATTGTTTTGATTTTTTTTGTGAAAAAAATGCGGAAAACGAACAGCCAGGAGACGTGGTGAATGCAGGAGCTTTAGTTAACATTCAACCTTCTCAAATTTCTCGCGTAGCAATTAAACCACCTCCGTTTTGGAAAAACAATCCAGTGTTATGGTTTGCACAGTTAGAATCGCAATTTTCAATTTCTCAAATTTCTACCGACGCTACCAAATTTCATCACGTTGTAGCGGCTATTGAATCTGATATACTTAACTCTGTTCAGGATTTAGTTTTAAACCCACCTGCTGCAAACAAATATACAGCTTTAAAAAATCGCTTAATTAGTATTTTTTCAGAGAGTGAAGCTTCTAAAATTAGAACACTTTTGCAAGGACTAGAGTTAGGTGATCAACGTCCCTCCTATTTGTTAGCTCGAATGCGAGAATTAGCAGAATCTCATCTTAGCGAAAACATTCTTAAATCGCTGTGGTTAGCCAGATTGCCTCAAAATATACAAGCTATTCTTGCTGCTTCAAACGAAAATTTAACTCAATTAGCTGCAATGGCTGATAAGATTATTGAACTCGCTAGCCCTATTCAAATAAATTCTGTTGAATCAGTTGTAACTAGCGCTAATCCTACAGTTTATGATCAAATTTCTGAACTTACTAAACAAATTAATGAACTAAAAACTAGTTTTCAGGAAGCTCAGCAAAATAGACAAGGACGTGAGCGAACTAATACCTATCGGGGTAATAGAAATCATATTAGGTCCCGTTCTAGACAAAATTACTACCGTGAACCACAGAATAACATGTGTTTTTATCACACTAACTTTGGAGATAGAGCTAGAAAATTCAAACCCCTATGTACTTTTCAGAATTCGGGAAACCAACAGGGCAGCCACTC